CTTGCCACTTGTCCTCGTCTCCAACATGGGCTTGCTTTAGTCACACCACTTGACCACTTGCCAACCTTCTAGAAGGACTGCAGCTGGACTTCTACTCTACAGGTCTATGGATCAAATCCTGGCTACCTAAGGACCTACGACAGACCTACTTACCACTGGTGGTTCTACAGGTCGCAGGTTCAATTCTTCAAGTGGTCACAGATATTGTACACAGGTAAGTTGGGGAACTAGGGATCGAACCCTGGGTCCTACATCAGCTACTTCGAACTGGTGAATACCGTTTCAGTCTCTTCTGCGGTTTTTTATTTCTTTCTGCTTGTCTTGCGTCATTTTAGCGCCCTGCCAGCGAGGCAGGGCGCATCCCTCAGGGGGCTGACCATTTGTCGCGGAGGCCGCTGTAACACTGCTACTATTTTTTATTTTTTTTTTAAATAACACTGCTACTATTGAAAATGTATGAACAAAAAAAAAAAGAAAAAAAAAAAAGGAAAAAAAAGAAAAAAAAATGTATGAACCCACAAGGTGAGTTTCAAATTTCAATTTATTTATTTTTTTCCCTTCCTTCCTTATTTTGTGTACCTGACAACGCCGCCCTCACTGAGGGCATACTCACACATTGTACTCAGCAAAACGTATCTGCCAGCTATCCCGTCCAAATACGTTTACCTTATCTTTTTCGATTGTTTTTTTTGGTGGATGTGACACCGCCAGGGAATGTTTTTACTTTTCCTTTTTGAATGCAACGGCGATTTTTTTATTTTTTTTTTCAGAGTAGTACCAGAAAAGAAAAGGGAATACAATGGGACCCAGGCTCCGCAACACTCGGCCAGCAGTGAAAATATCAAGGTCGGCAAAAAAACAGGCTCGGAGGTGGTGGTGGTGGTTCAAGGCCGTCGTCCTATTATTGTTAAAAAAAAATAAAAAAGGTTTCTAACTTCTAAGGCTTACCAAAGCCACTTGCTGCAAACCTGGCACTGCATGGGCCACACCCGAATATCCGAAGACGAGTGCTGTATCGATGACACGAGCATGATCAATCTTCATAGCTGAGTGAAAAAAGAAGACAAAACAACCAAGTTCAACAAATGCACCACGTAAGCATGCACGACGTACGTAAAACAGACCAGGTACTGATTCTTTTTATACCCTTGGGCACACAATATGGTCTCTCTCTCTCTCACGCGTTTCCACACTCCCTGATTTCTCAAGGTGTCAACACCTTCCCCCACCCACCCCACCCCACCCACCCACCACCACTACCACAAGAAAAGAGTGGGCCCACTCCATGCAAGCCCAGACCAGTTGCTGCTGTGAAATAACATGTATTTGGAGCTCTTCCGCACACCACCACTTGAAAAAAAAAAAAGATGCAATCGCTGTGCTTCCCTCCTTTGCGATGATGGTTGATGCAGACTCTCTTCAAAAAATGGGAGAGGGGAGGGGGGGGGGGGGGGGGAACATCAGGAGAGGGAGAGAATGTTCATCATCCACCATCGGTAAACTTGTGCACATCTAAAGGTGTCCAGCGGCGAACCGTACCAGACCAGAAAGATAGCATGAATACATCCATGATAAGGGTGCCTTATGTTCGGGAGAAGGTTGTGACAATTTTGCTTCTGATTTGGAAGAGGAGCTGCGAAGAGGAGGAGAGGCAGAGAGGAGGAGGAGGAGGAGGAGGAGGACGAAGAGGAGCAGAAGCAGAAGGAGAAGAGAAGGATGAAAGGGCGAGGAGGAGGGCGCGGTGTGCATATTTGCTGTTTCAGTTTGCCGTGCTGCTTTGGTGTAATATACGGATGGCTTCTTCTGATTTGACACTAGAAGATAGCATAAAGACTCTGCCCTTGACTACATACGTATGAGAGAGAGCAAAAACAAAAAAAACAAAAAAAAAACAAAAAAAACAAAAAAAACGAAAAAAAACGAAAAGACTCCTTCCTTACCTTTGAGATCATGGTGGAGCCCATGTCCGACAAGGATTGTGCCTGGCCCGATCAATGCCTTCAGAGCCTCCTGGAAATTTAGCGCATGCCAAAAAGCACACACTCTGAGAAGCCTGTAATATAAGAACCAAACTTACTGCAAGGAATATGAGTGTGAGCGATATACATAAAACCAAGTTGCGAAATCACACAGCTGAACAAGTAGTCGTATCCCAAGCAGAGAGTACAAATGCACCGAGAAAACCATCCATATAGAGCAATACAATGAAGTAATGAGCCAATGTCCAAGCCCGTAGGCCACACGAACACAGTATCCAAAGTCGCTCTCTCCTGTCTGGCACTCGGCGCCCAGCCTACTCTGCCTGACTAGCCTACCTACAGCCGGTTCACACAACAGGATCACTTCGACTCTCGAAGACAATGTACATGACGGCCAACACCACCGCCGACCTCTCTTCATGTACCAGGTACGTATCTCGTCACCCTCAATCAGACCTTGATTACCCCACACAGTGCCTCCTTCCCTGAAGACCACCTGATCATCCGCTGTACCCCTTGGCGCCCAGCAGCCCGACTATGGCTGCCTGCGCTCCGCTCCCCTGCAGCGCCGCACTTCACCTCTCACGCCCCGTCAGCGCCCTTGGCAGCAGCGCAGCATCAAGCGAGAGCGCAGCAGCACTTTCGCATTGCCAGCGCTGGCCAGAATGCCTGGCCTTGATGCTGCGTGTGGCCTGGCTGGAAGCTTCCGGTTGGGTCCCAGACCACCCTGCGCCCAGGCCCGAGACTACAGTTGAGGGCCTGGGCCCTTTGCAGTTAGGCACGGCCTGAGTCTCCGGACTTGGGCTGTTTGCTGCATCTGTGCAGGGCTCCCATGCAGGTGCGTTGGCACTACTGTTTTTCTTTTTTTTTTTTTTTTTGCAAAGGCCGAAGGCCTGCTTCCCAACGTATCGGCCCTGCTTTGTGTACGTGTGCCCAGGCGCAACTGTCAAGGCCTGGGCCAACTGTATGACGCAGAAATGTGAGGCTCACGCGTCTTCCCAACCGACTGGCGTGCTGCGAGAGCCTGAATACCCACATATGGAAATGTCGAATTTTGCCTTTGACGAATATTCAGGCCCGCCTTCACTTAGGGCGGGCACTTGGCTTGCTGGGGGCCTTATAGCCCAGAACAATGTGATGTCTGATAGGGCCCCTTGAGGGCTTGTTCCTCACATTACCAAAAAAGACCAGAAATTTGAAGATGCCACAACATATTCAGGCCCTTTTCAGGATTATTATTATTTTTATACTTAAAAAAAAAAAGGCCACACTTGACCACCAGGACCCCAATCGCCAGCAAAACTGGCCCACCACAGTTCAAGAAACATGAACCGCCTGTGCTTAAGTTTTTTTTTTTACTTTTTCCAACTTTTTTGGAAGTTTCTACCTTTAACTACATACCGCCTTACTCATTTGTTTAAGGTGGTTAGTAGCCTAAGAGAGCTTGAATCGGGGCTGGAACCAGACCTGGAACCAGGGCTCGAACCCAACCTGAGAGTGGGGATGGCCTTATACACTTGTTTAAGGTGGTTAGTTGCCTGAGATAGCTGGAACCAGAGCTGGAACCAGAATTGGAACCACCAGACCTGGAACCAGGGAAGTAATCACGGAAGGAGGATGGGGAGGATCGGAAGGAGGGCTTGGTGGCTGATCATGGCACGCGATTGTAGCAGCATCAAGCAGCGCTAACTGACGAAGAAGAAGGATAAGGAGGTCGGGGAGGTGGAGGAGGTGGAAGAGGAGGGGAAGGAAAGGAGGAAGAGGAGGAGGAAGAGGAGGAGGAGGAGGAGGAGGAGGAGGAGGAGGAAGAGGACCTGACATATGTCCATTTGGGAGATTGTGGAGGAGGAAGAGGAGGAGGAAGAGGAGGAGGAGGAGGAGGAGGAGGAGGAAGAGGAGGAAGAGGACCTGACATATGTCCATTTGGGAGATTGTGGAGGAGGAAGAAGAGGAGGAGGAGGAGGAGGAGGAGGAGGAGGAGGAAGAGTACCTGACATATGTCCATTTGGCAGATCGTGAAGAATGCTTGTGCAGAAGATGTCTAAGCGATGGCAAAGGATAAGGAAGGGGAGGAGGAGGAGGAGGAGAGAGGAGGAGGACGAAGACGAGGAGGAGGACCTGACACATGGCCATGTAGCAGATTGAGGAGAGGGTGTGTGCAGCAGATGTCTAAGTGAGGAGGAAGGATACGGAGGCGGAGGATGAAAAGGAAAGAGGAGGAGGAGGAGGAGGAGGAGGAGGAGGACCTGACGCATGTCCATGTGGGAGATTGTTGAGAGGAGGAGAGGGGAGGAGGAGGAGAGAGGAAGAGGACCTGACCCATGTCCATGTGGTAGATCGAGGTGGAGGAGGACAAGGAGAGGGGAGTAGGAGTAGGGGGAAGACGAGGAAGAGGGGTGGAGGGGGACCGGATGCATGTCCATGTGGGAGATCGTGGAGAGTGCAGCTGATGTCTAAGTGGGGAAGAAGGATAAGGAGGTGGAGGAGGAGAGGTGAGGAGGGAAAGATGAGTACCGGAGAAGAGGAGGAGAGGAGAGCGGAGGAGGAGGAGGAAGAGGAGGAAGAGGGGAAGAGGCGGAAGACAATCAAGAGGGGGAGGAGGACCTGATGGATGTCCATGTGGCAGATTGTGGAGAGTGCTTGTGCAGCAGATGCCTTACGTGGCGCTCTTGATGAACCAGTGACCTTGTGCGTGGCGATTATAGCCAAACAACACACTGTACCGGACTACAATTATACCCAAACAACATACCATACTGGGCTACAGGCTTTTGGCCATAATCATAAGGTGGGCTACATTCTTTTGGCGACACCCTTGTCTTTCACTTCTCGCCTTTCTCCCGACAGCTTACAGAGTGCTACTGTCAATCACTATTTGGATTCTCTTGAACTTCTATTATTATATTATTATATCGTTATGTATACATACATCCACCAACCAAGAGCCGATCATGTGGGGGGAAAAAAAGCATAAAATGTATAAAATGATAAAATTAGATAAATCATAAACATGTAAAATCGTCAAATATCATTAAAAAAAGGAAAACAGCAGATAAGAAGAATGAAGGGCAAGAAGGGAAAGGGACACTGAGTACCTTTGGTCTAGATCAGGTCCAGATATCCCAATAACTTCTGGACCATCTGGTCCAGCCCTTGCCTCATATGGTCCAGAGTCCAGGTCCCCGCCATAGTCATGCTTTGAACTTCACAATGCATCAATCACATTTAGTAGCATGTGTCATTCAGCTAGTAGTCAGGCACAGAGATCAAACTTCCTAGACATAGAGTCGTTCCCCAAAACAACACACAAAATACCCGAGGGGATGGGGGGAACGGTAGGAGGCAAGCGGCAGGGAGCATGCGAGACAGAGATATAGACGCAGACACACACAGGCACAGAGAAGACACAGGAGGGACACAGAGAGAGAGAGAGAGAGAGAGAGAGAGAGAGAGAGAGAGAGAAGAGACAGAGAAGAGACAGGAGGGAGAGGGGGAGAGAGAGAGAGAGAGAGAGAGAGAGAGAGAGAGAGAGAGAGAGAGAGAGAGAGAGAGAGAGAG